ATACTGAACTATTTCTTTAAATACGATACCGATCCACATGGGAAAATGCTCGGTGGGAAAGTAGTTCAGACATCTGCTGAAGCGTTCCTGACGCAGGTGTAAGCTAAGCATCTTTTCTATAAGTATACACTGTAGTTAAGCAGGTATGGCCCTCGTGGGGGCATAAACACAATCCCTACAATTAGCTTTCCATACTGACATCACAGTGAACTTTCTGCCTGTCATAGCAACCATCGCTTAGGCAATTGTGAGGAACACCCCTGAACGTGCATGCTTCAATGAGATTTACAGGTTGTCACAGACAAAGGGGTAAAAGCTGTGGTCGATGCTGGCACAGACAGATCTCCAGTCCCACTCTGACGGGAAAAAAGAGCAGGAAAGACTGGGCCTGTGTAGGGTTCTTCTGGGAAAGAACATTTAGTGGGCTTGTTTCTCCATCAGGGCTGCCAGAGAAGAATTCATCTCTTGTCCAGATAGGCAGATAACAAGGCCCCGCGGCTCCTCCACACAGAACCAGAGAGTGAATGTGAAATATGATGTGGTCTCCGGAGGGATGAACGGTTTACTGGAGTGAAAGGGCCTGACTTGTAGAGGGAAGGTTAACGGCTATAGGCTGAGCAGATGCTTCCTGAAGCCTGTTAGCTGAAAAAAGGCAAGCTGTTGTTGAGGCTTCACAATATAAAGACGTGACAGACCGAAGACCTGATTAGTTACAGTAAGGCCTATATCTATCAAACTACTCCAGCCTGATATATGGTACCACTGTGAGTGTAAGAACTCTCTTGTCTTCTGGAGTACAGAGCCATAGTTTATTTATCATGTGCATCCCAGAGATCAGACTTCAACGGTAAGGTGGTGGTGAACTGTGCTCACTAACTTCCAAATACCAGCTTAGGTAGCAGAGATACACGAATCATCTGTTCCTCGATCACCGTCAGCAAGTATTAAAACTGAAAAGTTATTTTAAAGGATATCGAGCCTGCAATAAATTCTGCAATGCTGTGTGATAGTCTGTGGAATTAGCACTGAATGTTAGGAGTCTCCAGCTGTGTGATGAATATAATCAAGTATAATAATAACAAACTTGTGAAAAGAATACAAGCTACAATACAGAGGACTGAAAAAAAAAAGCTGACCTCCATGTGATTCATCACCCACTAACCATGACTGTCAGCAGCTAAAAGCCTGCCTAATAAGATGAGCATGATCAACAGATTGCAATATTTTATTTAACCATTAACCTACCATAATTGGATTCACTGGAACTTTGATGGGAATGATTGGAGACATGACAGATATCACGTACGGACGCAATTCATGAGTCACCCAGCATCACAGCCTATGAGCTTCTGCAGCACAGTTTTACAACCACACAAGGTAAACAGTTAGATATTGCGAAGCTTGAAACAACTGTATGATTGGGGGGGGGGAGTAAGACCTGCTATAGTGTTCAAGGGTCAGCAGACGGGTGAAATGTAAACAGTCTCATTGGCCTCGTCTCAGGAATGCATTTGTCATACTGTCCTACTTCTGACCTGCAAGGTAAGAAACAGCCAAGACGTTAAGTCTTTAATCCAGAGCTGTGAGAAATCACCAAAGCAAATGGACTGGGGCCATACTTAGTAATCATACACAGTCACACAGCTTCAACCAGTGGCTTTGCGGTCAGTCCTTCAAATCCCATCAGCGTTATGCGTTATGTGATGCTTCTACAATACAAAAATGTACTGGCAGTCAGGAAGGAGAATGGCGGCAGATACCAATTCATCAACAATCTCACAACTGTCCTCACAGCTCAGGTCTTTAGAAAAGGAGATGGGAATTACATCTCAACATCAGTCTTGAGTTTATACTTTTGAGCTTTCAGATTTTATTCTGAAACATTATCACCGTAATGGCATCTTAACGGCTTCTTCCCAATGTTTGCTTTTATAATGTCTGTCTGACTCAACACTCAGGAATACATCAATGACCTCATTCAGTGAAGGACACAGTTCAAGGGGGAACATGGCAACTGATTTCCTTACAGTGGATGCTTGCTGCAGAAGATCACCCTCAAACAGTTCAGAACATGCCATTAGCATCGATCTAGTTACAGACATCTCTCCTTTTAAGGACTTACTGAAGACTAGACCTGCTACAATATGCATGCTGGTCTGACAGCGACGGGGGGGGGCCTGCGAGCTTCGGATGACTCAACCGCAGCAACAGACCTCTGGGCAAAACCTGACAGTTGGGATACATCCAGCCACTCATGACACAGCAGGCGCTGCCTTCAGAGGACTTCCTTCCTTCTTTTCTTTCATTTAGCAGTTTTCAAATCCACTGTACCTTGTAGGGTCGTGGGGGGTCAGAGCTAGACAGGAACTCACTCTCTCCCTCTGAGGGAGACAATCAGCGAGGGGTCAGAGTGACTCAGCTCCACTTTTCCCTCCACACATCCACGCTACCTTCCACAGATGCAGCGGATGGCACTGTGTATTGACAAAGCATGCTCTAACGTCAAATCTGCCTTGTTAGTTAGCACGTGAGTCAACTTTGTCACAAGGAAAGGGTATTTTCATGGTGTTAAATGGTTTATGGTGTTGGCCCCCGTAACAGGATAAAAGGGTAGAGCTGACATGGAACAATACAGAAAGTAACCAGACTGACTGAATCAATTACAGCATCCAGAACAGCATCTATGTTCATTTTTAACAGGAAAAAAAGCACACTGCCCAACTAGGAGTGAACAAGATCTTTAATTCAGACACTGAGATGGGAATGTCCGTTTTTGGCTAATCTACTGACTTTAATACTTCACTGGATTGACATAAAGCTAGGGCTGCTCGATTATGGAAAAAATCATAATCACGATTATTTGGGTCAAAATTGAAATCACGATTATTCAAACGATTATTTTTTTAAACTTC